CGGGGGGGGGGGGGGGGGGGCATCATTTCTTCCTCACGCACCTCTGAGGTGTGAGCTACTGTAGCCTCCACCTGAGAGGTGAGGGCAACTCAGAGAGGCAAGCGCACCTGCCTGGGTCACAAGCCAGGACAGGCAGGGCCGAGGATCCCGGCCCGCGGTCTCTCCAAGTGTGTCCTCCGGCAGTCCCCGAGAGCCGTGCTGAGTCCCGGCCCAAACACAGGCAGGTCTCAGGAGGCCCCCAGCCACGCCATCAGCAGGTCCCACGCCTGCGTGAGGAGGCCTGAGGTAGGCCAGCCAGCAGCGGATACAGAGATGGACCAGCGCGTCGGGGGGCGGATGGCAGCCCAGGGGCACGTGCAAGAGGGGTGGCCACAGCATCTTCCAGCTGTCTGTCCCCCACCCCTACGCTTCAGGGCCTCCCCTACTCAGAACCTGTACTGCTACGGACTTAAGATTTTTCTTTAAATCAATCTGCCCTTAAATGCATTTTAAATGAAACAATCACTCCAGCGATAGGAATGCAGCCTCCCTGTCACGTCTGGGGAGGTCGAAAAACACAAGAACTGTCTATAGACGCCAACATCCCTTAATGCCTCGCCTGTGTACGTACCACCTAAAACTATTTCGAGTCCCTTCGGACAGTCTACACGGCTGTGCCCATTCGCCCACTCCCCCTAACTGTATGGCGAGGCTTAAAGGCATAGAAAAGTATAAGGCTTAGCTTTTGCTCCAGGAGTTCCCGTGGAGGTGAGGGACAAAAGACAAGGGTAACCACCAAATATGTTAGTTCTTCAGTGTATATGTTGGCACAATATTGATTTGAGTCAGGTAGAGATGGAGCTGGTCATTATATTTTTCTCTGGCTTTGAAATGATCCATAATAAAAATAGTTTGAGGTTTAAAAACATTAGTGACCCCACCTCTACTGATCAGTAGAAATAGAAGTCTGGTGAACTGCCTGCAGCAGAGACTCAGGCCGTCCAAGTTATCCACGCCCAGACCAGGGCCGTCTAGAGGCCTGGGAAGATCTGGCCCACAGGGGTGCAGAAAGCTGCTGTCCGCAGGTCCCAGCCTGGAGGATCCCATGGGGGTCTTTATTTATCCATGATAAATGGATAAATAAAATCGGAGGAGGGACCCTGTTTCAGATCTTTAACCTCCACTTCGAGTAGTCCAAAGACAGGGAGGGACCCTGTTTCAGGTCTTTTACCTCCACTGTCCGATCCCGGACGAGCCCCCAAATGTTGCGGTCCGGGAGCCACATGCCTGGAGTCAAGTTCCCCGGTAAATGCGACCCGTGTCCCAACCAAGGACACCCGAGAATCACCAACACCAAGCAGAAAGATTAGCAAAGGATTTATACAAGTACAAGTATAGAAGCTTACACAAACTGTCCGGACAGGGTCCCACTCGGAGAGAAGTGAGTGAGACCCCGACAAACAGCCGGGCGAGGCTTTTATCCCCTTCACAGGGCAGGAAGTCCCCAAGGCGGGAGGGAGCTGTTTAATTTTGAATCAGCCAATCAGGAACCCGGTTCTTCCCGCCCCAAGCAAGCAAGCAAGTTTCTTACAGAAGCCAAAATGTGCTGTTAGCCCTGAAGCTGTTCTTCCGTTTCTTTCGTCACACATCCAATGTAACATTATTCAGCCATAAAAAGGAATAAAATACTGATACCTGCTACAATATGGGTGAACCTTGAAAGTGTTCCAAGTGAAAGAAGCCAGTCACACACACACACACACACACACACACACACACACACACACACACACACAAATATACATATATATACTATATGATTCCATTATGTGAAATGTCCACAGAGACGGAAGGCAGATTAGTGGTTACCTAGGGCAGGGAGGGGGCACGGGGGCAAAGAGAGTGGCTGCTCGTGAGGAAGGGGTTTCTTTTTGGGGTGATAGAAAGGTTCTAAGTGTTTTAAAATAAGATTATGATGATGGTTTCACCACTCTGTAAATATACCAAAAGCTATGGAATTTTACACTTTAAACAGGTGACCTTTATAGTTCGTAAAGTATTTCCATGAGGCTGTTTTAAAAAACAAAACCAGGTACACAGAGGCACCTGGGCTGAGCTTTTGATTTGAAGAATGACTGGGTTCCGCCTCTCACCTCTGCTAGGCACAGTCACACTTCAACCTCCCCTGTCCCTGCCCTGGGCTCCGAATCAGACTGAAGCCCTCCCAGGGGTCACCCTTCTGGTCCCTGAAACCCAAAGCCGTTTGCCGACTCTGGGCAGCCCTGACAGTCTCAACACAGCTGCCTCAAAGAACTACAAAGATGGCGAAGGCTGTAAAATTCGTCCCTTCTGAAAACACGAAGTGGTGAAGGAAAGGGAGGGCCTTCCTCTGCCCAGGGCAGTCATGGTGGGGACACCACGGTGGAGGTGACTCTGAGGCTGGCAGAGCCACCCGTACACACAGACGTGCCCCTCGTTAGCAGGTGTGTGGAAAAAGGACCACACAGAGGCCCAACTCCGCCCACAGGCGTCTCCAGAGTTGGTTTCCTTCTTACACAAAGTGCAGATGAAAAATACAAAAACTGGGAATCACTATGCTGTACACTTGAAACTTATAGAATATTGTCCATCAACTATACCTCAATTTTAAAAAGATGCAGATTACTGCCATTCATCAAATATTTCCTGAGTATCTATTCTGTGACAAAACTTAGGCTTTTTCTGGGAATACCACAATGAAACAAGACGTTACTGGACCCTGAATTCTCAGAGCTCGTGATCTTGCAGAGAAGAGAGGATTCAGAACTAAGCAATCCATCAATCCATTGATTTCAGTGAACACAAGAGTGAGGGA